TTGTACAGTATAAAAACCATTACGCCTATGGAGAGTCCCCATAAACCATAAAAACAAACCTGTGTGTGTGTGTGTATTGTATGTGTGTATGTGTATATATATTCTGTATATATATATATATATATATATATATATATATATATATATATATATATAATAAAAAACAACCCCAAATAACCTTTAAATAACTTTTTTAAAATCTGCTCCTCGCTCCATTCGCATACTCTGCTTGGGACTAAATATCTATTTATTTATTTGTTCTGTTTTTTAAAGGTTACACTAGTGGAGGGACCCTCTGGTGATTTAATCCCCAAAATGAAGGAACGATTTGGAATAAAATCCTTTGATTTTGTGTTTTTGGACCACTGGAAAGATCGTTATGTACCAGATACTAAACTTCTCGAGGTAAGAAGCCCAAATTACGCTACTGATTATGTTAACCCCTCAAGAAGTTATTCTAAAATATTTATAATTACAAACATATTTATTTTATAACATTGTAGGACTGTGGTCTACTCAGGAAAGGCACTGTCCTGCTGGCTGACAACGTCATTTGTCCCGGAGCTCCGGAATATTTGAAATATGTGAAGAACAGCGCACACTATGAAAGCCGATACTACAAATCCAACCTGGAGTACACCACAGTCGAAGATGGCCTGGAGAAATCTGTCTTCTTAGGATGAGAAAGGTCTTAATTTACAAGCAGATGTACATGAAAACAGGGTTGCACAAGGGGAAAAAGAACAAGCCACTTCCTCTAAAATACCCAGTGAGTCTTGTGATTCCATGTCAATTAAATCAGACAAACTGATGTTTTGTCCTTAAAACCCACTTGCCACAAAGTAATGCTGTGAAATCTCATTAAATACACAATTTCTGCTGAGCTATGATTTAAGAAATTTTACAACAACCTACTGATATACTGTATTTGGGTTTTTCAGGAGAGTGATTGTATTGTTTGATAAAGCTATGAAATTAAGTCTCTTATAAATCTTGTTTTTCCTAAGTAAAGAATGTCACAGAGGTCCTTCAATGTTTTTCAGTATTTTTCCTCATATTTTTCTTGTTTTTCCAGTACAAATATCTAAACATTTTACTTTTACTTGAGAAGCAAAATGACAAGATATTTAGTCCTGTTTTCTAAAAAAAAAGTATCAAAATTGAGTTTTTGCTTAAAACAAGTAATGATGTCTGGCAATGGGGTAATATTTTTTTCTCTCTTGTTTTTACACATTTTTCAGAAAACAAGACTTAAGTAATTTTTATTCTCAAGTAAACATATCTTGTTTTTAGAATATTTACATATTTTTGCTTGAAAACAAGACAAAAATACTAAGTAAGATTTTTTTTTTGCAATGTTTATATTGATATTGTATCAATAAAATAAAAGTTGAGATTAAACACATATGACAATTTGTATATAAAGACTATTTTATTAATGTGAAAATAGCATTAATAATTAATTTGAATCCTAAAAACTCATCCAATGACAGTTTCTAGGTTCAAATGACAAAGTAATTAAAGGTGGGGTAAGCGATTTCTGGTAGCCAATGTTGACATTTCAAATCACCAAAACATAGACGCTCCTACCTCAAAAGGGTCTCGCCCCTATTTTGATAGCTCCGGCTCATCCCTGCTTAGCTTCAGTGGGTAACCAGTCTTGGGCTACAGGGTGATATGGCTGTCAGCTAATAAGCATTAAATAATAATTAAAGGTGGGGTAAGCGATTTCTGGTAGCCAATGTTGACATTTCAAATCACCAAAACATAGACGCTCCTACCTCAAAAGGGTCTCGCCCCTATTTTGATAGCTCCACCCCGCACATACGTATGCAATCCAGGCAACGATTAGTTCTGTGAAACAAAGCAAAACCAATGTTACACCGTGTCTACACCGGACGCGAGCGGCGCGACAAAATACTATATAATTCATTATAATCAGTAATGCTGTCTACACTGGATGTGGCGCGGCGCGGCGCGGCGCGACACGACGCGACACGACACGACACGACACGACAAATCCTCGACAGAAAACTGCTGCTGCGTTCTATTTATGACATATTGACACAAATTTCAAATGATTTTCAATGGTCGCTTTGTTGCGTCCAGTGTACTAGACAGATTTTAGCTGTTGCCAGAGGCGGACTTAACCATTAGGCAGAGGTAGGCAACCGCCTTGGGCCCCCAAAAGCCAAGGGCCCCCTAAAATGCTTTTTATATGCAAAATGCGCACAAGTGGTTGCTGTGGTGTTCATTACCACGACAACCGCCTGTGCGTCCACGTTGAACGTGCTTCTTAGCAAAAGTAGGGCGATGTAGAAAATGGGGACGGAATCCCGGAATCTATTCATAAAAACGGAATTTACTGTGTAACGCGGAATGTGAGGGAATGCACGCGCAACGCTCGCGGTTGTCGTCTGTAGTAGCTAAATAGTATTTTTGCTATTTAATATTCACATACACTAGTCCAAATCGCGGTTTGATTGAAGTGTACTGAATTGCATTTGATTTATTCATTCAATATTTGACGAATTCCGTGACATTGCTCGTTACACAGTAAACTTCTGTTGTGTAGCATTTTGAATGTACAAAAATTAAAGGGTTTGTGTCATTTTCATTGGAATAAAAGATAGATTAATGTTTTCGCCTTCATTTGATTACCAGAAAAATGAAAATACACAACACAGAATTTCTAAAAAAATAAATAAATAAAATTAAGATTTCATAGGGCCCTATTATTGTATACAAATTAATAAATCACCACGTATTGTCCAACCTACTCTAATACTATTATAACCTGTTTAAATGTGAACAAGGGATTTACAATATTAAATAAATCCTTTATTTATAACGTACATGAAAAATCTAAAAGATTAGACAACTATGGGACACGGTCGTACAGCAGCGAGCAACAGTGAAAGGAACCTCAAGGTTGTAAATGTGTGAAATTGTATAGGGCCCCATTCCTGTATTTTGCCTGGGGCCCCCAAATCACTAAATCCGCCCCTGGCTGTTGTGACGCGGCGCGACAACTGTCGTGTCCAGTGTAGACATGGTGTTACTCACCTATCAAGAAGAAACAAAGTAACCTCGGCGTCCGATCGCAGGCCTTCTGCTCCTTGAGTTCTCTCCAGCGCTGGAAAGCTGATCTGATATTTACACGGGTCCTACTTCTTGCCTTATCGTAAACCTTCTTTTGTTCCGCAGACGTTTTCATCTTTTGCTTTTTACTCGCTATCTCTATCTTTCTGTCGTCGCTCGGCTCATGTCCGTCCTGTGCACTGAATGCTCTCTCCTCCGCATCATGAGTAGACACGCCCCTTACTGCTGATTGGCTACAAGTTTGTTTTGTTACTCGACCCGACTCAGTTTTCTAAAACGTTTTTGAAAAAATACATACCCCACCTTTAAAGAATTACTTTTGCTAATTTTTCAAACAGGCATGGTATAGAATTAGAGAACAATTTAATGAATGAACAATGCATTATACTTTCAGAAGACGTTAAGTCTCTTTTCATGGGAAAATAGAGCACTGTTTTTTACAATGGTGGGTCATTTTTGTGTGAGATATACAGTGTTTTTACTCTGAAAGTATGAAACAATCAATCAGAACAATCTATATGGGGTTTATATCTGGTCTGTGTCAAAAACATAGTACAAGTAGAACATTTGTTTAAAGCAGCACTATGTAACTTTTTCTGTGTTCAAAATTTGCAAAATGTATATAATGAGCGCGTACATCATGAATTCATCTTCCAAACCGCGTTTTTGTCTTATTCCGAATCACTACGGTGCACTTATAATAAGTACTTATATTTGGACTATTGTAGCCTGGTCACCGCTGCGGAGTAACACATACCTGCGTGAATCGCCATAGACATAAACTTAGAGAAGTAGCTCCGGTTGGAATGTTCTTCCGCGGGATGTGTGCAGTTCTGTTTATTAACTGCTAGAGCGCCAAAAGTTACATAGTGCTGCTTTAAAGATTGTATGTTGAACAGCATGTATACTGTACAAATACAGGGGAAAAAAATTGATGATTCACCAAAACTTGAATGTAAACTCATTCTCAGAATATCACTCTTGAGCCCTTCCACTACTGAAGATCTTGGCCAGGAGGGAAACGTTCGATTGAGCTTTGTCCTGGATGGTTTTGCTCTTCTGTTGTGCCTTCTGGAGGTTCTTCTTGGACAAGCCTTTGTTCTTAAACCGTTTCAGGTGGATCTCCTCTTCTGTAGGTCGCTGTTTGTAGTCCCACGTCTTCTCCTCTACGACCTCTCCCTTCTTCTCCTTCTTCTTCCTTAGGTTCTCCAGCTTCTGGCTCTTTTCCACACTAGCCAGGTAGAAGTTGGTCTCCTTCTTCGCCTGGGAGATTTCGGTTCTCATACGCTGATGATACACCGTCTGCTCGTAAGCCAATCGTTCGCTGAGATGGCACCACTGGAACCTGTGCAGATACTTAATGAAAAAGAAAGAGAAAAAGTAACTATACAGCTTCATATATGATGAATTTTAGGTACTCAAAAAAGTCTGGGGTTAGTAAGATTTTGAAAAGTCTCTTATGCACACCAAGGCTGCATTTATTTGATGAAAAATACAGTAAAAACAGTAACACTGTAAAATAATATTACAATTAAAAATAAATATTTTCTATTTCAATATATTTTAAAATGTAATTTATTTCAGGGACGCAATGCTGAATTTTCAGCATCATTACTCCAGTCTCCAGTCTCACATGATCCTTCAGAAATCGTTCTAATATTCACTTTTCATCAATTAAATGTATCCTTGCTGAAAAAAAAAAGTATTAATTCCTTTAAAAAAAAATCTTACTGACCCCAGACGTTTAGAATGGTAGTATATCCGTATTATGTACCTTTATGGACCACAGGTCGCTGCTGAAGCGGCTCTTCTTCTTGTTGGCCATGGGTGTGTTGTGCAGACTGGCTGCGACTCTCTTAGCGATGCGCTTGTCTCTGAACTCCACCCAGCCCTCCGTGAAACTGGATGAATTGCTTCCTGCCTTCTTTTTCTTTCTTTTCACACAACGATCTAGAAAAGAGTCACAAAAAATGTTTATATGGAAAGTTTGTCAAACATGAAAACATGCACTTTGATACAAGATATCATTTTGTGGGGGAGTTTTCAGCATCATTACTCCAGTCTTCAGTGTAACATGATTCAGAAATCATTCTAATGTGCTGATTTGGTGCTCAGTTGTTATCAATTGTTAGTGAAGCTTTTTATTATTATCAGTGTTGCAAAACTGTTTTTTTCTGCTTATTTTTCTGTGGAAACTATGATACTTTCTTTTTACAGGATTCTTTGATGAATAGAAAGAACAGAATTTTATTTGAAGGAGAAATATTTGTAACAAATAAATGTCTGGTTTCCACAAAAACACTAGCAGCAGCGCAACTGTTTTCCACATCGGTAATAATAAGAAACCTTTCTTGAACAGCACATCTGAAGGATGGATCATCATGTGACACTGAAGACTAAAGTAATGGCTGCTGAAAATTCAGCTTTGCATCACTGTAATAAATTATATTTTAAAATCTATTCAAACAGAAAACAGTTCAATATTTCACAAAATGACCGTTCACTGTAATTTTGATTGAATAAATATAGCCTCGGTAAGAAGAAGAGACCTTATCTGTAAAAGTTAGTTTGATTTAATGGTTTAATTTAGTACTTTCACGAATATAGATGACCCCAGAGCTAATGGACATCGACTAAAAGCCACAAAACAACGATTTTGATTTAAAAAATTTGGCTGTAAGACAGTATACATGTCTATTACTGTCTATCTATTGCCTATT